GGTGGTCGACCATTTGTTACTTTTTAAAGAAATTAAAAATGAATATGGTGGATATCTAACATGTACGCATAACCGTGAAATTTTTTTATTTTTTTATTTTTGGGGTTCAAACCATTAAATATGTTTTACGGACATATTAAAATGTTATACATTTAAAATTGTATACATATATTATGTATATATTTTGCTAGTCGTAACCAAAGTGCGTTCTTTTAATGCATGCATGATAAAGAAATTTCCGGGAAAAAACGGCATTCATAAACATTTTCTTCAAATAAAAATCGGTATACCTGTTCAAAAAGGCAATATGTCTGATCTTTTTAAGTAAAAAAATAAAGTACCGTATTTATTGACTATTATACTACAATTTGATCGGTACTTTCTTGTTTTTTTTTTTTCTGGGATAAATACGGTACTTTATTTTTGTCAGTACAGATCAGTTGATTGGTCCAGTAGTCATTGTTAACGTTACCAAATCTCATAGTGTATACTTCATATTTAACCCCATCGAGAATAATAAAACAGTCCTACAAAATCACTAGATCAGCTGACAACAAACGTAGATGATAAAATATAAAATGTTATGAATCTTACATTACTTTTTTGTTAAAGGGTTTGATGGAATCTTACATTACTAATTGATAATGGCTTTGATCTGAAAATTAGTTTGCACTCTCGAAAACAATAATTATAGAGGTTTATTTCACTGACGTTTTTAATTTCAAGAAAACCGTTTTCAACAAGTAATTGATAAGAAGTGTTATAAGATGTTAAATTACATCGAGTTATTTACATATTTATTTGATTCGACTACAGAGCTACTAGAATATTTTACAAGTGAATATATTCGATTTCTTTTTTACTACGATTTTTGTTTGTGTTGGAGATTCCGAGACGACCAGTTCATTCCCCCCAATAGAGACAAGCCGGTGCTTCATCCCATTGCTTTTGTCCGTGTCTCTCTTTAAGGAAACGAGAGATTATCAATTAGCCTTTGGATCATTCTCCCTAGCCATGCAATATATGTATCACTTCCTGCTATTCCATGTGCACTTTAATTTGTAACCAGAAACCTACAAATTTCTCACAATCTACTATCTAGTGTAGTGTCCCATGCTCTTCAGTCTTGGGGAAGGTTCACTATGGTTAATATCACCGTAAAAA